GAAGTGCTTCCCACAACAGCTCATGTCCGCGTGCGTCAAGTGGTCGAAAGAGCACATCGACCAATTCAACATACTATTAAAAAGGCAGCTGAGTAGCGTGGATGAAGGTGGCAATGTATGGAACGAGTGCTTGAGATTAGCACATGAACATGCTGAGATGCTGAGGGAGGTTGGACTGGATTTTACTGAGTTGGTTGGGAATGGAATCAGTGAACAGGACGGCGAAGAAGACCAGCCAGTAGGTTTAGGAGTGTCTTAAGCATTGGGGTGCGTTCAACAATGGAATCACACGCCTCGCAAACAACAAACATTTTCAACATGACCGTTAGCGTTTCGCGTCCATCGTCGCAGCAGCATGTATTTTTCTTTGTCCACCCCCGCCGCTACTACCTTATCCATAGCCGCCTACCACTCTCACCAAGACTCTCTCAGACTTCTCATCACTACTAGTCTCTCTATGCTGGCTTAAAAACGGCGCTAAGTGTGTTAGCGTGTCGCTTGTTGTCGTTGCCTTGTGAGATCTCGCCTTCACCAAGGGAATAGGGTCTATGGCTGACTACAATTGTTAGTTGCCTCTCTCACTCTTACATTCAACAATTTCGCTTGAAATTAGGACAACGACTCTCCAACTCGTACCAAATCTGCCAACAGTTTCGCAGCATCAAGATTCTGTTCGACTACCACCTCCAAGATGCCCACGGAAGCAGAGAATATCAATTATCTATACTTGGTCCTAACCAACGATGGTAGCCCTGTCGTAAGTCTCATCGTCTCCTTCTTCGGTTCGTATCTTCATACAAGTCCCATATACTTACTCCTTCTAGATCGATTGGGATGCCGTCTCCGCCGCGCTCGATCTCAGCAAAGGCGCCGTGACAAAGCGATGGTCGCGTCTCAAGCAGTCCATGGATAGGAACGAAGCGCCCGGAGGTACAACGTACCAGTTTCTTTGGCTTTGCGTTAAGCACCACAAGCGAACTCAGGTGAGCACCAATTCACGTTCAGCCACATAGTTCGAGAAACCAGCAGCCACTAACAAAAATGTATTAGCCCCCAAACTGGAGTGAAATCGCAGCCAAGGCCAATACTACTTCGGGAGCGGCGTCCAAGCGCTACTCTCGTATGAAGAAGGTATTCGAGGACAACGACACCGCCCCCGATGCAGGCACTCCTCGCTCGCCCGTCAAGAACACACCCACCAAGGCCAAGGGTACTCCGAAGTCGGCCGCCAGGAAGCCTCGCAAGGCTACCACTTCTTCCGGCGACGATCAGGACGACGTTCAAACTACCCCGGTCAGTAAGCGCAAGCGTGCCTCGCCGAAGAAGAAGCTCGCCGCTACCGATGAGGAAGCCGAGGTCAAGCCTGAGCCAGACAACGAGGGCGAAGATGAGGACGATGAGCTCCTAGATTCCAAGCCCAAACGCGCGAAGGTCGGCAAGAACAAGATCAAGGTCATCCCCAAGCCTAAGCCCAAGGATATCGTCAAGAAGGAAGAGACCACCGACGACGGCGAGGACTCTTTCGTCGACGCCCAGGAATCGCTTGACCACCAGGAAGATGCTCAGGATGTCCACGACGACAGCTACGCCGTTCAAGATCGTAAGTTTTCCTACCCTCCAAATCCCCAACATCCCCATCAGCATACTGAACATTTGCTAGCTGACTCGCTTGGTTACAGCGATGACTTCATCTGAGCTGCATGCGCCAGCTGATCTGAGCTGTGTCGATGGTTGCGCGCAATGTACTTGCCATGCCACCGAAATCGCTAGCGTACTTATGAGCAGGGACTCGGGAATGGCTCAGTCACAGCGCGTAGAGCTTGAGGAGATAGTAGGTAAAATGGGCTGAGAGTTCTCTTTATCTTCACGAGAAGTCTGGTGGATTTCTGCAGCATGCATTACATGAAATTTGGCGTCGGACGGTATACGGTGCATAACGATGGCGTCAACTGAGTTTCATGGGAAAAGGCTTTCAATCTTTGTATTCGATGCGCAGAGTGTTTGATTCTTGAAAGCGCTGAGCTAATAAAATCCTTCCACGCCCTTCATACAGCCAGTTCGTGATACTTTCTCACGAGCCTGCCAATTACGGTGTCAAGACCAGTTTTCCAGTTGTCTTCCTACTCTCGATGTCCTGGGTCGCACGCACAATCTCGCTCAACGGATACACGTCGTGAATCTTGACATTCAGTCCGTCCTTCTCGATGAAGTTCCACAGCTCCTTTGCCGCCGTCTGCAGCTCCTCGCGAGTAGCGATGTAGTTGAACAGCGTAGGTCGAACGAGCTTGACGTTCTTTGCTCCCAAGCGACTAGACGATGTGTCAGCTACTTTTCACATGAATAGTAAAAGAAAGACTCACGCAAGAGCGAAACCCTCAACTGGTCCCGATGCGTTTCCAAACGAGCACATTGTACCCTTCCTCCTTACGACAGCCAGTGAGCTGTCAAAGGTGGACTTGCCGACAGAGTCGAAGACTGCGTGCACACCCTCGCCTCCAGTGGTCTCTAGCACTTTCTTGACGAAAGCATCTCGGTTGTCCTCGTGGTATTCTAGTAGCACCTCTGCGCCGTTCTGTTTCGCCAAGTTCCTCTTCTCCTCTGTGCTAGCTGTAGCAATGACCCTTGCGCCAACCGCCTTCAGCAACTGGCAGAGCCATAATCCTACGCCGCCAGCTGCGGCGGTGACGAGAATCCAGTCGCCTTCCTTGACTTCGTAAGCATCACGGATTAGAGTAACGGCGGTTAGTGCCTGGAGAAGCGAAGCGGCGGCTGTCTTGGTGGAGATGGAATCAGGGAGGGCAATTGTGTAGTTCGCCGGTGCAGCAGTGTACTCTGCGTACGCCGATTGCCCCATGTAGGCTACGCGCGCACCAGGTTTGAGATCAGAAGGTGCGTTGGGTCCGACGGAAGCGACGGTTCCAGCGCCTTCCCGACCGAGAACATACGGGAACTGCGGCGGCTTATATACACCGGAGCGGAAGTAGCTGGCGACAGTTTAGCATGAAATCTTGGTTTCTAAGCAGGTGGAAAGGTGTGCTCACGTGTCGATGTAGTTGATGCCGATGAACTCGTTCTTGACCAGGACCTCGCCCTCCTTGGGCTCTGGAACCGGTACATCAGTCTTGTACTGCAGAACTTCTGTTCCACCGGTCTTCTCAATGTACACGGCCTTCATGGTCTTTGGGAGTGAAGACATGGTTCTAATGATGGATCGTCTTGGAACGATGTGCGAATTGATGGCTGCGAGTCGTGCTGTCGATCTAGAAAGTAGATTTGTCGAGCGCAGAGTGTATGATGCCAGCGTCATGAATCACAAGAGATGGGCTGGTGGTCGGCTCAATATAAGCAAGCTATCTCAAGAGAGGCATGCCCGTTGATGATAAATACTCTCGGACACGGCGTTAATTCCGAGTGATCTGCGAGGTGACACCCCCGCTCCCCGCACACGTCATTATCGTCTCAGTTCGCGACTTCCATTTCGACGCGGCAGACACAGTCGCCTTCCATTTCTGATGAATTACTGCATCGGCCTCTATGAAGATGTACTTCGTAGGGCGCGCCAGCATTGTGTCAACCCGATAGGGCGTGTTCATTACAAAGCGACGTGTTCATAGATGCTACAAGTTAGCCAGGCGGGCATCGCCCGCCGTTAATCGGCCTGCTGTGCTGCGCGCCATCTCTCAAGCATCTATGGTGTTCTATCTCTTTCCTCACTTTGATCATGTGCATATTTGTGCACCTTGCATCCTCCCCACTAGGTACGCGCAGGTAGAGAATACACCACTTGAATTAGGATAGGCTCCTGGTAGAGCGAAGCAGCCTGATTAGTATCGCGTCTGTAAACTATTACCTAGGTAGACTACGATGTCACTTTTACTGGCAACAGCAATCTCTTGCTCTCTCTCTCTCTCTCTCTCTCTCTCTCTCGCTCTCCCCTTCGGAAGCCAAAACACGCGAGTCTACTTCCCACGTCTATGACTACCTGGGGATGTCTATCTCTCTATTGATTGAGCCGCCTCACTCGTAGTCCACCCTTCAGGTCAAAAGGGCAGAGACCTACGCAAGAACATGTGAGATCAGCAACAGAATCTAGGCATACCGTAAGCTCGCTACTGTCCCGACTTCCATATCAATATACTACCGAAAGGACAGCCTGGAGCATTCTACGCGCCCTTCTCGATGACGACGAATTGTCCCACGGAGGCGCCGACGTAGTCTCAGGCGACTCGGAACTGGCAGACGAAACAGGAGCCGGGAGGTTCTCAGGCTGCTCCGTAGGAGCAGCGGCAATATCTTTACTGGACGTTACCGCATACGTGACCTCAGCCCCCGTATGAAACCCCAATATGCCTGGCATTATCGGCATTCAAGTGCTTTCACTGATATTCAACTAGTATGACCTAGCAGTGGCTGAGCGTGGCAATGCATCGGAGGCTGTTATCAAGATGCCCTCCCATTAGAGCTCAGTGAAGACGTAGAAAGAAGACTGGAATCGCGAATTATGCATATACGGTATGGGGATTTGGACTACTTGCTCTACACGCCCCTTCCTAAAGCAGCATTGCGCTCGCGCGGAATGTTTGAAAAGCGGTGACCGAGCGCGCAGTGCAAACGGCCACACATTCTACTAGTCTCGCACAGTCTCCTCGCCCTTGACACTACATTGAACGATATCCATCGCCGTCCAACATCGCCTTCTTACACCGAATACCCGACGTTCGCTACCCGGTGCTATCATGCTGGTTCCTGAAACGCCTCAGTGTCAGCTCAAGGATGCTCTGGCGGTTCGTGAATGGGCGAGGACCATCTGCCCTGTCGAATTCGAGACACTGCCTGACCCGGAAGATATTGAGACCTATTTTCTGGATATTGCTGAGACATCCACAATCTTATAAGCCATCGCATTCACGAGCTTCGACCCATCTTGCACGGCCGCCGAGCGGCTCTGTCCTGGCACTAGAGAGATCACTGTACTTGCGTTCATTCAAGAGTCTTCGCTGATGGCCTGTCCGATCCGTGGTGAGCAAATTGGCGGCAAGTTCGACTTGCTCAAATGGCTCAAAGATTACGGCCCGACGTTCTTGGACGCGTTCGCTTCGTGTTCACTGGATGACCGTCAATGCCCCACCCCTGTCGAGATCGCGCTTGAGATAGAGGCGACCATCAGATACTACCTTGCGGCGAAAGGGGTGGTAAAGGCTCTAGAATGTGATGATCAGATGTTCAAATGGAACTTCGCACGCGCATGTCATCGCCAGCATCAGAAGCTGTTGAAGGAGGGTAAGTCAGAAGTGAACCTTAATTCGACAGCATCTAATCTATCACAGGTCATACAGAAGCTTTTGAATCGACCGAACGAGTTCGGATGTCCAGAAAGACGCGTACGCGCAGTAAGGAACTTTCCTTCTTCCCGATGGCACAATCATTGACCACAAATAGGCGATCGCCCAGAAGAAGCTTCGCGCTCTGTCGAACAACGTATCACAGGACTTCTTGAGTCCTCGCAGATGTCTCGAGATATCGACGGCGCTCACGAGCGATCCGGCGAGGAAGGAGACGCAAACGACAACAACACGACAAGCCGTACCTTGAACGAGAACCAGCAGCGCAGCGCCCTCAACGATGATACCAACATCGCCAATCTACAACGCGAGATCAAGAAGTTGCGTGTAAGACAAAAGAAGACAATGCGTCTTGAGGACAAATTCGCTACACTAGAGGTACGCTTGACTGCTTCAGAGAACAGAGAGAAGGCCATGAGTGACCGGCTTGATGCCATTACTCAGGAGCGGGATGACATGGAACAGCAGCACCAGACGCTTTGGAATGAATGTTTCTTCTTCAAGGCAGTCCAGGTAGATCGCACCAACACGGCTCTCGAAGCAGTGTTAGTTCTGTTCAACGACCTTACTCTACTCGAAGGTGAGGTTGAAAGGCTGACAACTGAGCACGAAGAGCTTAAGAAAGAGAACAGCGGCCTGGGAGGCAAGTTGCAGACTATGATCGAGTTTGCTATGAAGTCAAAGAAAACCACAGTTCTGCATAGGATCGCGAACGAGTCAGCTATGGCTCACATCAAGAAGCTAGAGGAGAAGGTCGAAGAGCTGGAGACACAGATGAGAAAGCAAGAGACTTTGGTCAAACAAGAAGAATTCGAGAAACGCCGCAGCGCTATGGACTCGGCTCATTGAGCCTGGCGATTGCCATATGTCATAACTTTGTGTTTTGAGGGTTACAGAAAGTTGGCGTAATGCCTGCAGCAGATGCCGTCTTCGTCTGTACAAATCAAGCGTTCTGGCTTATCCAAAGTTTGGAAGGTGCTATCGCAATGTGGAAAGTACGATAAGAAAGGGATATCATCGGAATGGCAAGGAAGAAATGCGCGGAATATAGAGAAAACCGTTGTTGGATCGCACAGTAGGCAATCATCTTGCCCAAGAACTAAAGCTCGGTGGTTCTGAAGACCACACTTACGGATAGGGCTGCAAAACACGCCCATGTTTCCACAACCAGTATATCAAAATCCTGTCACACTCCCCAGATCTGATGCTAGAGTGAGGTGTCCTCTCTCACTGTTCGCGTAGTTGTATGAAGTTGAGTTGTCCGCTGCTTCCCTCTCATCGCTCCTCCCTCAATCGCTTTCATCGGCGCGCGTCGGTGAGGCCACTAACCACTTCCGGTACCTTCAGTCGTCATATCACGGTGAAGATGAGCCCACTTTAGGCGCAATCTTCCACAGCTTCGATTCGCCCTGCGAGAATCTTTGTAACAACACGCCCATTCGTTCAGATTGCACACTCCCACACCATGGCGCCCACCGGAATCACCCTCGAGGACGTACAAGCATGGGCAATCCGAGATTTCCCTGACCAGTTCAAGCACCTACCTGATGCAGGAGCATTTCGTACACAGTTCAACATCATCCGCGGGTACAATCATGACAGAGGCTTCAAAAGCTTTGTCATAGGCAGCACCTACACTAAAACAAGGAAGCAGATAGACCTCATGGCCTGGCTTGCAGGTCCTCACATAGTCATCGGCTGCATTGGAAAGAACCGGAAAGGGGAGCCACAGATTCGTCCTATGACCTTGACAAAAGAGAACGCCTCTTCTTGGACCTTGGAATTTCCGTTCAACTTGATTCCACCGACTCAAAGCCAGACAGAGGTTGCTTGCTGTGATGCTATGCTACGCTACTACTTCCTTGCAAAAGGCTGGAGTGAAGGCGTAATCGACGACTCGAACCTGTTCAACAGGTTCGTAGCCAGGTTTCCCTATGCGTGCCGGGCTATTGCCGACGCGGTCGCGGAGAGGCCCGAACTGGTTACGACCCCATACGCTACGATCTTTCCACCAGAAGCTAGTCGTGCGCCGATAGCATCAGCAAACTACCAGTGTATGTCTAAGATCAGCCATCAATAAGTTCCGATTACTAACAGTTGAGCTCAGCGCCTTGTTCCAAGAGGGCTCCCTACCTTTTCGAGCAGATTGCCAACGATCCACTCCCAAACAGCTCGTATACTGTGCTCAGCAGCCCGTCGCCCAGTCCGCCGCCGATTGAGGGTCCTGTAACGCGCCAGGTACTACGCTCCCCACTTGAGCTGCAGTCCCGATTCGGATATCCACAACCAGACAATCCTGGTGGGGACCAGATGGCGGCACTCGATGAATCGAACAATGCCGGCGAGCGAGACAGCCCCGGGCTACGAAACAAGCTTTTTGATCTCAACATCCAACTCATGATCGCGGAGGGTCGCGCTCGGGATGCCGAGACAGTAGCGCAGAAAGCTCAAGAAGAGTCACAACTCTGGAAGAAAAGGTACGAAGAAGCCGAGTCGTACAGAACCAAATATGAGAAGATTCGGAGCCACTTTGGATTGCAGGAGCAGGATGAACGCAGAGCGTGAAGGTCAAGGGTCAGAAGTGGAACTGAGAGGATGGGAGTCGTGAATGGAGATGTCGCGCATCGTGCCAGCGATAAAGGAGGTGCGGATAACGTTTCGGTCGTAGCAGCGGCGGAGGGCGAATAATTGATGCGGGAGGCAGCGCTGTGCAATAATATCTGAGGGTAAACCTGGGCGATCCGATCGCATGAGCGTAGCGACACAGTCAGCTTTGCTTTGAGGAATACATCGCTTTCGTGCGTAAATTCTTACCGGTGCTCTTTGATGGAGGGAAGATGAGACGTGTCCAGGGTCCATTCACATGGGCTCTTGAGAGACAAGGGCGCCCCGCTTACGTCGCGGACGCGTTCCCACGCGGACGCAGCGTGAACCAAGTTCGCGCACCGCCGCTACGTCATCGCTCACATCGCAATCAAGCACAAGCCCACAAACATCTACCGCGCGCAGAATCCCCACCTCACATGATTGATGCGCATATACATATTTTACTACTCTTCCATCACTAGAGCATATTCCAAACCTATTTGAGGTTCTTTTCGGCATGGGCGCGTTACTTTCCTCCATCCTTGCGCCTATCGCCCTACCGCTGGGCTCATTTTTGGCCATTCCTATGCTATCCTCATGGTCGACAGGCCTAAACCTCATCTTCCTCTCGGTCGCATGGACGACAATCGCCGCATCTTATTCTCCTCTTCAGCTTGAGCTAGTTGCGCCCCTAGTAATTCGGCTATCTCTCTACATCATACCCAGCCTGATCTTCTTGCTATTCGATATTGGGTTACCAAGTCTAGCAATCGAGTTCAAGTCCCAGGGACAATGGGGTATCCCAAACAATCAAAAGGGTGGCGCACGCGCAGTGAGAAGGGTGATTGCGTGGAGCTGTGCAAATGTGCTGCTCAGTGTGGCGTTGCAAGCGGGTATTGAGTTCTTGATCACAGACGTACTGCAGATGAGGAGTCTGCTACTCATCAAAGGCAGTCGATGGGGGCTGAATCACCTGCCAAACCCATGGACGATGGTCAAACATGGCATTATCGGACTCTTATCTCGTAACGTAAGATCCCATGATTGCGTTCCCTAACAAAGACGTACTAATAGACATGTCGTAGGTTTTGCAATACTATATCCACACACATCTGCTGCACTCTCCGACCGGCGGTGCACTCTCCGACTTGCATCAGAGCTGGCACCACAGCATCAGGATCCCCTACTCCTTTGCCGCAAACTACGACCACCCCATCTGCCACCTCCTGCACCGCTTCCTACCTCTATACCTTCCAGCGATTGCTCTGCGGATGCATATCCTCACTTACTTGATCCTAATAGCTATCTTCAGTCTAGAAGAGACCTTCGTGTACTCTGGGTACAATGTCCTACCCTCAACCATCATGCTGCGAGGCATGGCACGACGCGCCGATGCGCACATGATGAGTGAAGGAGAGGGTAATTACGGATGCATGGGTGTTTTGGACTGGTGCCACGGGACAACAATTGGTAAGGATGTCGTTGAGGACCTGAAGGCGGAGATGGAGAAGCACAACGTGGAGGAGAAGGCGGGGAAAGCTATAGATGGCGCGGGGGAAGCGGCGAACGGACTGGCGGGGAAGTTTGGCAGGGCTAGGAAAGGAAGGGGAAAGAAGTAAGTAGGTCAATCGGCGAGCCTAGGGTCATGTAACGAGGTCTGTATACGTGTGGCATTGGCGCAATTGGTTCGGTGGTAGTGTCCTTGGTTAGCGGTCGCTTCTGATACCCTCACGTCTGGTCGCCGGGTGTTCGTGGGCAGTTGGCGCAGTATCGGTCGAAGAATGTAACGTCTGTATCTCTATTCCTTGCATCAGTACTCGATTACCACCCAGTATGTACTGCGCCAATTGAACGCCCAACTATGACATCACGCAAGCGGAGACCAAATGTTCACTTTTGGACCGTCTCAGATTCGCTCGCTTCATATAAAGCCTTATGGTAAATGCCTTGTCGGAATCCTCCATGAAAAAAATTGGCTGCCGTGCCGCTGCGATTCTTGTTTACCGCTAGTACAGCCGCAGTATGCCGAAGTCGTCTTTCATCCCATGCACTGAACGCCGAATGCCCGATCGTTATCCGTCGCTTAGAAGACCATCTGGTGAGGCCTGTCGGAGCTACGGAGGCTGAAGCTGGCACCGAGGTAGTCGGCGAGGTGAGCCTCCTTCTTGATGGTGGCCAGGAGAGCCTTGTCGACGGCCTTCTGGTCCTCGACGCGGTCCTTGGAGGTCTCCTTCTTCTGTGGGTTTTGTCAGTATTGGCGCATTGCACTTCCATTGTGTGTACGTACCTCGGGCTTCTCGCCCTGCTTGAAGAAAGCATCCTCACCCGGCTTGTGGGCGGCCTTATCCTTGGTGAAGTAGCCGTCCTGGCTGCACTTCTCCACAACCTTCTCGTCTACGCCGCTCAGGTCGACGCTGGTAGAGGTAGCGATGACATATCGGGCGTTTACGCGGCGAAGGGGAACACCGTTGACTTTGAAGGGACCGGTAACAAGGAGGACACCCTGGGAAAGGTGCTTGAGGACGACGACGCGCTTGCCGCGGAAGCGACCAGCAAGGAGGATGACGACGGTACCGGGCTGGAGAGACTGGCGGACCTTCGCAGGGCGGACAGACTTGCGGGCCTTGAGTCGCAGTTAGCGGAGCTCCAATTGATGTCTTGATTCTTGTCCTTGCACCAAACACCCGCCGCATGCTGTCGCAGTGAATGCACCCAGCACCCCTGCAGTCCTTCTCTTCCGTGCAAACCATCGTCTATCGCGAACGTACCTTCTTGGGGACAGCAACGTCCTCAGCAGGGTAGTACTTGCTGGCCTTCTGCGAGTGGTGCGGTATCGACCTCTCCCCCTTGGAGAACTTCTGGGTGGTGGGCTTCGTGTCCTCTTGTTTGGCCGCCATTTCGTTTCGCTGTGGTCGTTAGTGCTGGTCGGTGGTGTTGGCGATGGAATCGATTTTCGTGAATTCGAGTGTGTGCCAAGCTGTCCAATCGATACGCGCGACCGGGCCGAGAGTTGTTCCGTTGGTTACGTAACCCGCGTGGAGCTTGCAGCTTGCGGCGATGCTCGCGGTACCGCCGCTGAACACCACTGCCCCAACACCGACACACACCGCAGCCATGTCTATCCAACCGCTCATCACCTTCAAGGCCGGCCAGTGTGAGCTGACTGTAAGCGTCGCGGAAACTGACAACCCAGATCGGACACTAACAATAGCCACAGCGCGGAGAAGGCAACCAGCAGACAGTCAAGCCAGTACCGACACCAGGCTACGTCTACCTGTACCAAGGAGAAGATGGTTTGTTTGCAACCAACTTAGCCCCTTCATCAACTTACATATCCAGAATTCGTGCACTTTTGCTGGCGACCACGCGACCGTTCGCTCGACCAGTCGGACCTCGACCTCATCATGATCCCCGGTGACGGCTCCTTCCAACCCTACACCGGCAAGGACTCCATCGATGACCCCGAGAACATCAAGTCGCCCACCGACGGCCGCATCTTCGTCCTCAAGTTCAGCTCGAGCTCACAACGCTACCTCTTCTGGTTGCAATCAAAGTCGCAGCACTCGCGCGGCGCGAGTTGGTTCAGCGAGCGCGACCTCAAGATCGGGCAGGTCATTGACTTGCTGCTGACGGGCGAGGAGATTGATGTACAGGCTGAACTTGCAGGTATCTCGAGCTCATCCAACAATGACGAGGATGAGACCATGGAAGACGTAGAGCCATCTAGCCGAAACCGCCACGGTAGCACCGGAGGCGCAGGTGCTGGTGCCACAGGCGGTGATATCCGAGATGAAGGCGAAGAGTCCCGAGAGGGGGGCGCCGATGGTGGTCGAGCGTAGGTTCCATCTATTTGTATCGCATTCGGCGTCGTGGCGCAGTCTACCTTTCCGGACAGAATCGAGCTGCTGTGGAAACTACCGACGGCTCTATACAAAACTTTAAAGATATCCTGTCACGGTACGGCGTTTTGGGAGAAGCATAAGACCATCCAAATATGGCGATTGGCACTGGCTGCTCATGTACAACAATAGAAAATAAGCATCATGCTACGTCTTCCACTGGCCACGCCGCGGCGCTCGTTTCGCGTTTTTGCTTTTGCCTATCCTCTTGAACATGCTCGCTAACGCGTCGACAGTGCCGGATCAGGTGATGTCTCTGCCATTGTGCAAGACTTCATGAACTCGCTCAAAGGCGGCAGCGCCGGCGGCAGCTCACAACAACAAAGAGGATCAGAACCCTTCGCCAGCCTCACCGAGTTCCTCTGGCCTACGCATACTCTCTCAACCATTGAGAACGCTTCCGACGAGACCATCGACGCTCTGTGTGCCCAACTACCGACAATCCCTTTCCTCTTAGAAGCCGAAGTCGAAGACATCGATCAAATCGACCCCAACTCCGAGACCGCGCAGATGGCCATACAGACATTGGGTCGGGATGAGAAAATTGACGTTCTGAGCAGGATCCTACGGGCACCTCAGCTGAGGGGAGCATTAGGCAGTCTGAACGAGGCGCTAAGGACCGGTGCTCTGCCGACTGTTAGCCAGGCACTGAACATTGATGTCGAAAACGGAGGCTATATGAGAGGTGGAGGCATGCCACTTGGTGGCGGAGATGCAGTTAAGGCTTTTCTGGAAGGTGTCAAGAAGACAGTAGAAAAGGAAAAGAAGGGCGGCGATGACATGGACACCAGCTAGATAGTCAAGTGGCTGTAGCGACTTGGCTATGCTTTGGCATTGAATGATGACCGACACACGAATAATGCACATATAGACGACAATGACCAATGGCACGAGCACTGCATGGCAAGGGTAGGATAATCGAATTATTCTCGCTCTCATCAGCACTTTTCAAATCTTCTTCTTAGAGTTTCGTTTCCCATCTAGGAGGATCTCCAAAGTGTACAGAGTCAGTCATCGGCTTTAGCCTTTCCACAGATTCATACCCTTATCGACTTCCATTCGTCTCACTTCCAACGGGGAAATGGTTATCAGCCAAACCTTTCCATAATAGCAGCCACCCCACTTAAGTGCTCAATATCCTCAACTTTGTCTGCTGGATGTTGTTCGCGATAATGCTTCATCCACGCATCGCGTTGATCCGCATACTGCGGTTGCGCATAGCATCCCTTGCAAGGTACTCTCAGTCCAGGGAGGTAGCGAGGAAAGTGGTAAGCGCAGAAGTTGGGGTCTACGTCACTGTTGAGATGTTAGCCATGGGACTGTGGAAAGAGAAGGATGAGACGCAGGGGTGACAGGGTACTGACCTATCGTCCACTTCTGGGTCGGCAGGTGTGAAGAACGTAGATGGCGAAGACAGGTTTGTAGCAAAGGGCGCATCGATTAAGGTGCCGGTGGTGGAGAAAGTGGGTGAAGGCTGACTCAGAGTTGGAGAAGTTGGAGACATTGACACCGGGGAAGTAGAATGACTCTGCATATAACCTGCTTCCACACCCACCGTCTCTGGTCCTGTACCCGGCGCCATGAAGCGGAACGCTGGACCATTGCCTCCACCTTGCTGCTGTTGTGCTTGACTGCCTAGCACCGCCGCTCTCAGTGGGGAAGGATGAGCATGTGACTCACGAGCACGCTGTGAAGGCAGATCTTGGACATCGGTTCTCCGCGCTGGTGGACCAGTTGATGAGGGCGCCATAGCAGACACAACGGAACTTGAGCGCGACAGATCCGGTGCATTTCCACGGTTGCTGGGGATGCGGCGACCTGTAGCGATAGCGTGGGGGCACGGCGTTGTGCAGATTGTCTTGTTGTGCCCGCAAGCATAGACTTGGAGGAGTTTGTGACACATTCTGGGCGGCCGGTAAGGTTCTGTTAGAATGATCGGGGGGCTCTTGGTGTATGAGTTGGTGGGTAACTCAGGATCAAAGTTGGATGACGAGAGTAAGTGAATGTCAGAGCGGCGTGGACGTGAGTCGACACAAAATCGGAGGCGGTGATGTGTCGCAAAGAGCTGATGAAAGTGGCGACTCAATCACTCACAAGCGATATGTGAGCGTTGGTTCAGCTTATTCACGCACTAGCATTCGTTTGCCTGTCTGCGCGTTTGTCAATATAAAAACAACATCGTACACTCAGGAAGATACGACTTCGAAGAACGGGGCAGGACAGGTCAGAACTTTGGGTTCTATGCTAAAAGCTACATCAACATTGCAAAATCATGAATGACCAGTGTAACGACAACCGCTTCTCCATGCCGCAAACACCGCGCCCATCAAACTCCATGCCACCGAATGCTCGAATAGAAAATACACTTCATCACTTGGCAATGCGCTAGTAACTCCGTCCGAACAAGATCCACTGCTTGGCGGGAGTCTGACAGTCAGGGTTGATGCACTTGGTCTTGCCAGGCTCAATACCCTCGGGCTGCTCGAAAGGAATGCACAAACTCTTCGCACCCATGGCAGGAGCCTGCTTGTCTTCCGCAACGCCATCGCCCAACGCACTCCGTGCGCTCTTCGCCTTTACCTCATCTTCGCACTTGTCGCCCTCACAGTGGGGAACTAGGACAACGTTCTTGCCGTTCAAGGTAGGGACAAAGTCATCCCAGTTGGTAAGCTGGATGCGGTGGTCCCGGTATGCCTTGTCAGCCTTGTTGAACATGTCTT